ATCAGGCCTTGGTTGAGGACGTCGGACCCGTGCCCTCTGAGGGGGATGAGAATGCTCGGCGGAAGTTGGCGGCTCGGAAGGAACTCTGGCGGAAGATGAATAGGCGTACGTGGCTCCAAGGGACCTTGTCGGCTTCAGGGGACATTAGCAAGACAGAAGAAGAGGCTGCCCAGGCCCTACAGGATCACTGGAGTACTATCTTTGCTGCTACTGAGGACGACGAGTCCCTCTGGCCCGAGCTGCTTAACTTTGTGCCGAAGTTGCCAGTGGTCCCTGAGGAGATAGAGGAAGAGGACTTAATCGGGCAAGGGTGGATGATGAGTGAGTTTGAGTGGCAAATGATGATTCGGGGGAGGAAAGACAGCATGCCAGGGGAGGATGGGATCCCTTACTCGGCCTGGAGGGCCCGCGCTGCTGGTGAACTTCTCTACGAATGCTACCAAGCTTTCATCCGTAACCCTCGGGCTGGTCTCCCCGATGATATGAAACGGAGTCTCATGGTTTTCTTACCCAAAAAGATTACGGAGGCGGAGGTGGGGGAGGGAGTTTATCGTGAACCAGCTAATACTCGTCCACTAAGCATGACAAATACGGATGCCAAGATTTTCTCGGCCTCGATGGCTATGATTCTCACGCGCAAGGTTGCGCGGCACTGTCTTCTCCAGCCTCCACAGAAATGTTTCCGTGGCCGCGACATGCTCGCGAATGTGATGGAGGCTGAGAGTTTCCTTCTTGAGTGCCACCTTCGTGATAGATATACGAGTGGGCTCGTCCTGACGGACTTCGAATCCGCCTTCCCCTCGATAAAGGTCTCCTGGGTCCTCCGCGTACTGGCCTCCATGGGTGTCCCGCCTGCTGTCATATTGTTCTTCCAGGCTCTTTATCAAGATAATTCTGCGATTATTTATATCTTTGGGAGGATGTTTGGTTCCTTCTCGATTGGGAGAGGAGTTAGGCAAGGCGACCCGAGCTCGATGCTTCTATTTATCCTGGCCGTTGAACCTGTACTAGCATGGGTGAGGGCTAAGCTTCCATCTCAGCTGACTTTGTCTCTCGCGTATGCCGACGATTTTTGTTTCGGCCTCCGCTGTATCTTCGATGGCATCGAGCCGTTGTTCAAGTATTTGCAGTTGCTTCACGGCGCGATAGGTCTGGCTCTCAATTTCCCGAAGTGCCAGATTCTGCTGGCTTACGAGCGTCTCAGGGACCCTCTTCGTGATTTCCAGGTTGACCTGGGACCCCTCTATCAGCTGGTTGAAATTACTAAGTGTCTGAAGTACCTTGGGGTCTGGATTGGTCTTGGGGCGGAGGACGTGGCGTTCACGGCATCCATTATTAAACTCAAAAAGCGGACGCGTGAGATTCGTGATCTGGGGCTTGGTTTGGCACAATCCATTGTTCTATTCAAAGCGTTTTGTGTCTCTTTATTGTCCTTCCTTTTGCAGCTGCACCGTCCCACTCGTGATCTCGACAAAGCTTATCAATCCTGTGTCCGTCTCCTCTCTGCTGGCCCTAACAATGCACTATCTTACGACATGTGTACCCACCTTTGTGTTTATGGGTTCCCTATTGAGTTCCCTCGGCTCTCGCTTGTGGCAGATGCTACTCGGGCGAGATACATTGCACGTTGTGATGAGCTGCCTCGGATCCGTGACCAAGTCGCTCGGATTTTTGAAGATGATGACTGGTGCCCATATCGGCAGCGGCGCGGCTGGTACGTGAATAGTTTCCTCACTCACTTGTTCACCTTCCAGGACGAAGTTGCATCCCACGGCTTCCAGATCTTGTATGAGCGTAAGGATGTACAGAAGCAGTATACGCGTGCGCTGAGGCGCTTTCACTGTCCCACCGTCACCCCTCATGAAGCTCTCATTCGGCGTGCCTGTGCTTGGATCCCTGAGGTCTCCCTGTCGGACATCGTCTGGGTTTGCAAAGTCATCAAAGCCCTGGCCCGTCAGTCCAGTCCTTACATCCCGTTGGCCAACCTACGTATGCTCTCCAGGTGTGTTTGCACTAGTGCTCGATTTCACGCTCCCCCTCGAGGCTGTATTCTTGGGTGCCCTAGTTCTCCGACGTCCCCGACCGACTTAGATGACATGCACCACTACCTCGTGTGCCCCAGGCTCCAGCAGTTGTTCTCACATTGGATGGGCTCTTGGGCTCCCTGTTCTTCTGGGTCTTCTGAGGGTTCGCCCTGGCTCCACCTCTACCTCCTTTTTCGTGGGATGGGTCCTGACCAGCGTCTTTTAAGTTCTATGTTATGTGATGCCTTTCTCAGTATGCACTCTTCAGTTAGATATGGTATTCCTGGCACTCCGCAGCAGCAATTTGAAGCAAGGCTCCGAATACAATCGAGGCGGCACCGTGCTTGTCGACGTGTGTGGCAGGCGCTAAACCTTGAACAATGGGGGGGAAGGGGCCCTTTTTTTTTTAAAAAAAAAAAAAAATCATTCTAAGACGGTTCGCTTTTACTGGCACGCGAATATTGCATTCCATAGACCCCAACCCTCGATTCCCGCCCACTCCGTTTTCGATTGCACCCCTTGTCGGTGGGAAGATCTTCCCTGTCGGCCACTGACTGAAGTGCGAAGAGGTCTCGAGCGAGAGCGCCGTTCCTGAGTTCGGGGGCCTGTCTGGCCAAGGGCTCTCGGAATGCCTATGGAGACCCACAGATGCGGATAAGAGTGAGGGGGCGGCGGGGACGTCGGCAGTTGGCGAGACTTCAGAGAAACTCGCCGCAGGCGCCAAAGTAGTTTCACAAGTTATGCAACGAGCCCGCCGCAGGCGCCGATATGTTCCGTTAAACCAGTGCGGGTAGGTCGCGGGTGGGTCGCGGGTCCTGACAAAACGAAACCGTTTCTAGTAAATGCGCACAAGGAATAGATCGAACAGGGCAGGGTTGCTTTGTAAATGCCCAGGGCCGTGTTTCCTCCTGGGTGGTTGTTTTTCTTTTGAGGGTGGGTCGCGGGGTGGGCCGCGGGTGGGTCGCGGGTGGGTCGCGGGTGGGTCACGGATGGGTCGCGGATGGGTCGCGGGGTGACTCGCGGGTGGGTCGCGGGGTGCTTCGCGGGCGGGTCGCGAGGTGGGTCACGGGGGGGTCGCGGGTTGGGTCACGGGTGGGTCGCGGGTTGGGTCGCGGGTGGGTCGCGGGGTGGGTCGCTAGTTGGGTCGCAGGGTGGGTCGCGGGTGGGACGACGACAACAAACAACAGCAACAACAACACAACAACAGCAACAACAACGCAATAACAACGCAACACCAACAGTTTCAACAACAGCAACAACAACGCATCAACAACGACAACGCAACAACACCAACAACAATCATTTTCAGACTGTTCGCCCTTTATCTGCTCGAGTGTACAATAACGCGTATTTCCAAACCTTCGATACCCGCCTTCTTCGTTTTCGATCGAACCCTTTTTGGGGGGTGTACCTTGTTCCCCTGCAGGCCGGGCCCCGGCAAGCGGCGGGGCGGCCGCGGACCGTCGGCCTGGCCAGCCGCAGCGCTGATCGGCGGGTCGGCCGTGGACCGTCGACCCGTCCCCGAGAGGGACGGGCAGGGGACCGACCACGACGACGATGACGACGACGACGACGACGACGACGACGACGACGGCGGCGGCGGCGGCGGCGGCGGCGGCGACGACGACGACGACGAGCGACGAGGACGAGCGAGAGAGAAAACGACAGCAAGGCCACGAAGGGCACGACGTAGGCCACGAAGGCCGACAGCGGGGACACGAAGGGAATGCGTATGGGTCCACGAAGGGCGCGAACGAGCGCGGGCCACGAAGGGCAGATAATGCGGGGCCACAGAAGGCAACGGTGTGGTCACTGAAGGTAGCAACTGGGCCACGTAGGGCAGTGAGAGGGCCGCAAGCGGCAACAGCGGGAGCACGAAGGGCATGCACATGGGGCCACAACGGGCGCGAACGCCCCCGGCCAGAGAGGCCCCCGAATTCAGAATCGGCGCTCTCGCTCGAGATTTCTTCGCACTTCAGTCAATGGCCGACAAGGAAGAGATTTCCCCCGAAAGGGGTTGCAATCGAAAACGAAGTGGGCGGGTATCGAGGGTTGGGCTATACGGGATGCAAGGCACGCGTGCCAGTAAGAGCGAGCAGTCTTCAATGATTGGTGTTGGTGTTGGTGTTGGTGTTGGTGTTGTGGTTGTTGTGGTTGTTGTGATTGTGGTTGTGGTTGTGGTTGTTGTTGTTGTTGGTGTTGTTGTTGTTGTTGTTGTTGTTGTTGTTGTTGTTGTTGTTGTTGTTGTTGTTGTTGTTGTTGTTTTTGTTGTTGTTGTTGTTGTTGTTGTTAGTGTTGGTGTTGGTGTTGGTGTTGGTGTTGGTGTTGGTGTTGGTGTTGGTGTTGATGTTGATGTTGTTGCTGCTGATGTTGTTGTTGTTGTTGTTGGTGTTGTTGTTGTTAGAATCGCCGCCGATATGGCAGCTGGCCTACTGGCATTCTGGCTCTGGTTATGGTGCCAGTTAGCTTCTACGTTAACGACTGTTCTCGCAGCAGTCGCGCTATCGGCAGGGCTCGTGTGCGTCTGCCGCACCAGCCTCCGATACGCCTGAATGAAGCGGCCTTGTGTTGCTTGTCTGTCCGCTTTCCCCGAGAACTTGTGCTTCAGATGTTCGTTTCGTGCTCTGCACATGTTCATTGGTAGTGGTATTGCGCCGCAGTGGCCGCCTCAAAACCACGCGGGTTCGGGAGAGCCAGAGCAAGCGCCTTCTGTTGCCAGCGGCAGCACGATTTCCAAACTTCGATGAAATTGGCGTAGAAGATGGACGCACAGGCGTACCGACACAACGACGATGATGGCGCAGTCGACGGCGACAATCAAAACGACACGACGACGACGACGACGACGACGACGGGAAGATCAAGCGGGGAAGTGGGATCAGGATGTTGCAGGAGGAGCAGCGAGCAGCAGGAGCAGGAGGAAGTTGAGGAAGAGAGCAGGAGTGGGCGTACGTCCCTCGCCCTGGGTGGGGGGAGTTGCTCGAGCTGGTGGTCAAGCGCGGCCCATGAGCCGCATGAGCGGCCCCTGAGCCTCAGCGTTGAGCTGCAGGCTGGCTGTCTCCATATCTGAGCTGGGCGCCTCGCTCGGCACGGTCCGACGTGGTGATTTGTTGAACATGTGAGGCCTTTAGACCGCTTGGTTCCTTCTTGGGCTTCCTGATGTTCAACGTGGGTTGACTTTAGAGAAGGGCCATCGCAGGTTTAAAGTATCTTGGCATTTAACATATCGACGTCACACGTATGCATACTTGTTCCATCTGCTCTCCCCAGCAGGGCCCATCTCGATCCGATCGGCCTCATTCGATATCGATTCTGGCTGGATCGATCGGATTGGTTTCCGATTATCCGATGCGTTTCAGTGTTCGCATCGCGCTGTTGAGCATCCATGTCCAAGAGTATGGTCGCTACGTTTGAGAACGTCTCAAGCGAAAAACCCACTGTGAAAAGCATATGCCCTCCGTCCTTGTAATTGTGAGTGCGCGCGGCGCTCAGCCGAGCGCCCTTTCGAACCTGTACCGCCGTCCATCTTTGCGGCTGTTTCAGAGTAAGACGCGTGTTCGCGGTGCAATTGCACGAGCCCAAGTTTAGAAAGGGTATGCGCATCAAGCCTTTTAACTCGTGTTAAGACGCATGTGCGCGTCGCGAAGGCGATTGGACCACCTTGGAACTGTACCACCTTCTGCTCGTGCAATCGTTGGGAACTCTTGACGCTTCGAGTATCTCCACCAGTCCATGCGAACACGCACCTGGCGAGTTGACGTGATGAACGGTGTGCAGCAGCGTGCAATACAGGAGACAACCACATCCGTCTTCGCGGAGTATTCGATGGAGATTGGAATCGGAGGAGGAGGAGGAGGCGGACAGAGGAGGCGGGGGAAGAAGAGGAATCGGCGGAGAAGGAGGAGGGGCAAGGAGCAAGCAGGAAGCGCACTGGTGATCTGCGCGGGTCACCCGTGCGATTATAATTATGGCAAGCGGGGAAGATTGATGTAGTGGGAGGAGGTGCGACGTTGGAGGCTAAGGGTGAGGAGGCAGGAGGAGACAGGAGGAGCAGGAGAAGATCGAAGGACATAGGAAGAGGCAGGAGGAGTAGGAGAATAGTGGAGGACGTCCTCGGCATCCTTACACGACAGTGGGGAAGAGGATGATGCTGACAGGAGCCCCCTTTGAAGCACTTTGCAGGCAATTTTGAAGCCGTCTCCCGCTTTGAAGCACTTTGAAGGCAATATTGAAGCAGTCTTGGGGCCATTGTGGATGCTGTTGGTCTCCTTATTGGAGCGCTCTTGGGGGTCTCCTGGGGCCCTCTTTGGGGGTCTCTTGGACCCATCTTGGGGGACCTCTTGGAGGGCATCGGTCAATGAAAAGGAGAGCTCTCAAGTAAGCCCCCCCCGTCAAGGCCCAAACATTTGCCTCTTAGGGCCCTCTTGAGCGCTCTTGGGTGCTCTTTGCGCCGTATTGGGCCCCTCTTGGGCACCTCTTGTGGCCGTCTCAGGCAATTTTGGAGTTATTCTGAGAGGCTTCATGAGCCCATCGGAAGCGAAAAGGCGAGAAAACAAACACACATTGAGCAACCCACCATTGTTTGAAGGAGTTGCTCTTCCTGGGCCGGTCTTGAGGGTGTCGGATGTTATCTTAAATCATTTTGAGCTATTTTGAGCGGTCTTGGAGGCCAGCTTGGGCTCTCTTGGGACCTCATTGGGGCCACCTGAACGAGCTCGCTAGACCACTCACGCCCAGATGGCCAGTGGGAGTTCAAGATTGATGATTATGGTGAGGAAGTCTCATTCGAAACGCCCAGCTGGCCCTGGTGCGACAGGGAGGGCTTATCCACAAAGAAAAGGAATGGAGGAGGAGGAATGTGTTCGGAGAAGGAAGACTAGCGGATTGAGCCTCGTCCTCACCCTCCCATTTTGTTTTTAAATCCTTTTGTCACTCTCTTTGCCTTGCTGGCACACTTCCCGGACAATCTTCTGATTGTTTGTTATCCTCCTCTTCCTCCGACCCCTCCTCTTGGGATGACGGAGGGTGGAGGGGGGATGAAGTTCTCATCTTCTTCGTCAGTCTCCCTTGTCCCCAGCGAGTTCCGCAAGGAGCCCATTGGTCACGTTGCCATTCGAGAGCTATGATTTGCTGCTCTCCAGCGCGCTCGCCCCGCAGACACTGCTACAATGCGGCCTCACAGCGTCTGGCGTCAAGATATCGACTGCCTCAGACGCGATAGGTTAGGTGTGGTGGTGGACTGACTGTGCGCATGGCATTGCAGTTGTACACTCGGCTGTTTCTCAAGCTTCAGGAGGGCGATGATCATGAGAGCGGGAGGGGCAGGAGGAGCAGGAGGAGGATAAGGATGACGAGACGGGCGGTGAGTCAGATTCCGAGGAGGAGGCGAAGGAGGAGAACGAGGATGACGAGGATGAATGTCAGGACGAGGGTGAGGTTGAGGATGAGCAGGATGATGATTGATGGGGTATTACCCCAGGTAGTTTCAATCTGCGGCCCCACGGTCCCCGACCTCTTTCCCCTTTGTAGTCCTCCATCCCCAAACAATGCTTGATGGTTCCAGAGGTGTGGAAAGGGCCCCAGAAGGTCGAATTCGAGGACAAAACCGCTGGGATTGGTTGGGCCGTCCTCTTCTTCTGGCGGCTGGCTGGCTGCCCGTATCCAGCCCGCGTTGTCTTGGTATCACCGTCCTCTAACAATTTCTTTCGTCGCCTAGGTCTGCCGGTGACAGAACGCCATGGCAGACTGCCGCGATGTAGGTTGAGAGTTGGCCCTTGCTTCGAATCCTCCTCATCCTCCCTCATCTTCATCATCCTCCTCGTTTCCATGCACCCCCTCATTCGACTCTTGCGATGATGTGTATACGTAATGTATGTGTGTCCGGGCTAAGAGGCGCTCGTGAATATGGCAATGAGGGGAGGCCTCATGTCATTGTTGTAGCTCTTGGCAACATGATACCAGTGCTACCAACTGGGCTCACGCCACTCTGATGATGCCAGCGCGTGGACTTAAAACATATAGCATGTGTAGTATACAATGTGCGTGTGATGCATGGGAGGCGGGGAAGTAGTCGCGCGAGAACCCTTGGGGCTCCCAGTGGGGAGGGGGGCAGCCCTAGAGGGTGCGGCACGCAGGGCGAGCGGGAGGGAAAGCCGCAGGAAGCCACAGGAGGCCAGGCGGCCACCTGAAAGCGCGCAGGCACGCGGGTGCAGCTTGGACGGCAGTCCACGCGAGGGCGTGCGAAGTTGAGCGATCGGCGGAAGAGCACGCGGTATTCATGGCCGGTTGTGGAAGTTCCACCGCGGAATGCCGTAGGAGGCCAGCCAGCCGCCAGTGAAAAGGTATACGGCGCGCAGGTCCGATTCCTCCGAACACTGGGAAGAGCCCGTGAGCGCAGCCCATCGGACGGGGCTACGACGAGGACTCAAGCGTTCCAGCGCACGGAACTCTCTGAGAGGACCGCGGCGCCCGAAACATGATCCAGGGCCGCCGGATCTCAGAGATTCTCGATTTATCCACCCCCGTATGTATCTTCGTCTTGGCTTCGTCTTACCCGCGATCTCCCCTCCTTGGCCGCCTCCACGTCCCTCCTGCCTCTTCTAAAGGAGGAGGAGGAGGAGTCGCTAGCCCATGGAGCGACGCGCCGAGTCAGACTTCAGACAGACAAGAGAGTGCGGAACAGGTGAGAAACGCGCAATCGTACACGTGACGTTTCGGGCCCCCAGGCCGCACACGGCCCGGCCAAAGCATCATTGCCACGACGAGAGGCCCTGAGGAGACGGCCCCAGGATCAGGCACAAAGCCAAGGTGACCCAGGGACCCCAAAAGAAAGCACAACGAATTCAGACAATAGCTTCCGTGGAGCCTTTGTATGAAACGAAGGCCAAGCCATTAGACGGCATCGTCAGTGACTTACAGCCTTCTAGATATTATAATGGGTTGGGCCTGTCCACCCCAAGGGTTGATGCCCTTTATACAGTTGTCTCGCCTCCACTTTCTCTGAGGGTTGTTCTGCAGGGCAGCCTCTGGATCACATTCCCAAAACAGCTGGGTCCGCGCCGTTCTGGCCGAGAACGCCCCACATTTTCTGCAGCCCACAAGATCCCCCGAGAGAGACAACAGGTGGCCCCTAGCACCAATCGACGGGACCTCTCCCAATCTTGGCAACGGGGCTCTCGGCATCACAGCATCACTCCGTGACGGCGGGGTGCCCTCCCATTCTCGCCCATTTCCCCCCGGCGCCGCCGTCTGCACCGCATCCCTGACCACAACCTGGGGGCGCCTGGGCCCCTCAGGGGTTCTCCGCAAGCCTGACCCTGGACGGGGCCCCTGGGTGGACGGAGGCGGCGGCGGAGGGGCACGGGGAGGAGGGGGGCGAGGTCGGAGCCTCTGGCGGAGCCTCGGGGCCTTGCGGGGGTTCCACAGGACAGTCAGGACGGCTCCCTCCCACAGGCGAGTCCACAGAGGGAGGCCCACAGGCAGGAGGAGGCTCAGAGGACGGAGAAGGGGGGTCGGGCTCGGAATCAATCCGAGGTCTTGCCACCCTGCTGAATTCTCCTACCTCGCCTAGCTCCGCGGAGGGCCTGGAAGCTGTCTCTCCTCTGCACAACTCCGACTGGCCCTCCAGGGCCTTCCCACCCGTAGGCGGTCGAACCGACCTCGGGGTCCCCTGGGCCTCCCGAGGTGTTCCTCCCCCGTCCGAAGGAACCAGGGGTACCCGCTCCAAAAACACTTTCGCAGGACACACGTCCCGCTCGAGCCTCTTGAGGCCCCTCCTCGCTCGCGCAAGCCTAGGACAGTGACAGCACCTCCAGCCTCGACGAGCGACGACGATTCGATGGCCCCGTTCATGTACTGCCGCACGCGTAGCCGCACACGCCGTCTCTCCATCTCGTGGTGGTTGGACGCGTCCATCCCGTCTCTGCTTCCTTCCGATCGTGGGCACGCTGTCGGCTCGGTCGTCGATGTCAGTCTGGCAGTAGGTGATCCAGGCGGCGACCTGCCTGACCGGCTTGAGAAGCCTCTGGTGTTCGTTGTAGGTCTCCGCTTGGCAGCGCGTGCAGGGCCATCTCCTTGCCTAATGTCACCACACCGTGGGCAGTGCCACCATGGATGATGCAGGTGCTCACACTGGGCCCCACAATATTGACAACGTTGCAAGTCCGTGCAGCCCACGTGATAAAGTTTTTGTTGCGATCATTGAGCTCCAATAGCCGTGGATCGTAATGCCACCCCCAGTTCGTGGCTGAAGATTTCCGCCCTTGACCGTCCGCCTGCATCCGTAACATAGCTGCCAGCGGCTCCATCCAATAGCCACGGGGGTCTCGCGGATCAGGTGGGTGTTAAGGTGCATGTTCTTTCGCGTTGGTCCAAGCTTCCCTTTTGACCGATGCGAAGCTCCTTCTCGCCATCGTTCGTACCCATCTAGGCGCGACGTCACCCATATTCAGATGCACAACGTTGCCAGTCTCCCAATACTTCGCTGAGTGTGCACGCCATACCAGTCGTCTCATATTCAGGGTCACGGCCCTCGCAGGCAGAGCAATCGCACCCCAGGGGGTGGTAGGTGCCGCCTGCTGTAGCCTCCAGGCGCGATCGATCACCCCCGTGGGAACCCGCCTTTAAAAGCCACCTGCGCCCATGCGAAGATCGGCTCTACCACTGCCATCTCGTCAGGCATCTTATACCGAGAGACCTCAACCAGCGATACTAAGCACGTTGACGAGGCTGTTGGGGTCTTCCTCCATCCAGTGCGGACCAGTTTCGTCATCTTCGCAGTCGTGGTCGGTGTCGCCCCAACCACATTCACCCCATACGTCATACCAGGCGCCAAACAGAGCCTAGCAATGCGCTTGGAGATCTTCGCCATGCCCCTGAGCTTCCTGAACCTGGGAACCCTTTCCTTTATCTTCCTGGCCCTCTTGTGAATTTCCGCGCATGTATGGCGCGCGCTTGCGCGACACTCCAGCCCCAAGATGTTGAGCTTGTTCACCGCTTGGAAGCGAGACCCTTCGCGACCTCCGAGGCCGCGAGGATCGGGCCGCCCGCGGGGCGCCGCGCATGCACGGGGCGGCGCGCCTTGCCGCGGCCCTCTCCACGAAGGCGATGAAGCTGGCGTGCAGGTCATCCAGTCGGGATTGGGCCTGGGCTCGATCCTCAGGTCTGCCTCGAGCCGCATCTTGTCTCGCCGCCTCCAGATGCTGCTGCGTCGGCGGTGGGCCTGGGACTGGACTGGCTACTGCATATCGAAGTGTTCCGCGCGGAACTGCTTCGGGCACGCGCACATGAATTTGGTTGTGCGCCTTGGGCTTCGCATCGACATTCAACCTCATTGGAAAGTGGGAAAGTGGGGTCTTGGCGTCCAATCGTCCTGCACGAAGGGAGTAACCCTGAAAGGAAATTAAGAACCTCCCCTCTCTCTGGCGAAAGTATAACGCTCCAGGACACCAGCACCCTGGAAGCGTTACCCTGGCACCTCGCAACCTGCTCTGAACGCAGACGAGTCTGCCCGCCGAAACAAGGAACCCCCCTTTGAAACATTCTGGCAATCTGGCCTCCGTGCGGTTCTGAAACAGGCGCCTCGCCTGAGACATCCTCAGAACTTGCTCTGAACGCAGACGAGTCTACTGCGGGGGATCCCTATGGGCGAGTTCTATGGGGGAGTCCTGTACGAATTTCTAGGAATCCCACAGAGTCTCATTGGGGGGTACCACATCCAGAGTGGGGTTCTTGCTTTCTCTGCACACGCCGCGCAGGATCTCACAGCCCCCCTTTCCTCTCTCTCTCTCTCTCTCTCACACACACTCACCATAATCACCATCATCATCACCATCAAACACCATCATTGTCATCACACGCACACACTCATCACCATTGCCATCACCATCACCATCAACCACCATCACCGTCATCACTACTCATCATCATCATCACCATCCTCAGCATCATCATCGTCACCATCATCACCACCCTATCACCCACTCACTCACTCAATTACCCACTCATCCTCAGTAGGCTTCGGAGGCAGTGGTCCTCCGACGGTAGGACCGCCGCCTCTCTCAACATCATCGTCACCATCACCTTTATCATCTCTCGATCACGCACTCACTGGTCATCATCATCATCATCATCATCATCAGCATCATCATCACTCACTCATCACTCATTCAGCATCAGCACTCACTGACTCATCATTTCGTCATCAATCACTCCCTAGATTGAACATGGAGGAAGTATCAGGCGGGAGCCTCGTCGGTGAGTGAATTGCGAGGAAGTCTCTGGCGGGAGCCCCCTCCCTATGGGGCCCGCACT